GTATTGGTGAATTGGAAAGATAACGAGGTGAAACGCGGCAGTTAAATGGATTAAGACCGCACAAACTCACGGTAAGCACATATCATACCTGTCGACAGGCTGTTTTAATTACGATGGAAGGCATATTTATAGTTATCGTTCGCACAAGGTCGAGTTGTGATTTGGGCAGAGGCATGTAGTTTTACGCTCTGCAAGGACATGATGAGATGGATTTATCAGACAAAAGGCGATTTAGAAATGTGGATTGGCGGGTGTTGAGGGAGGAATTCTGGAAAGTTATCTCGGCAGTGCACCGCCGTGGCACAATTCAGAACGGGTGACATATATATATAATAACATTATAAAACATTACAGTGTTACTGTACAGTAGCTTGTTTGTAGTACAAACTTTGTACAGTACTCGACAGGCAACAGTGTTGCGCCAAGTGCTCACCGGATGGATGCAGCCGCACCGGCTGGGCTCCAGACTGCTGTTTCCAATGCAGTGAAGTAGGGAACGTACAGTGTGCAGTGGTATATCTGTCGTGGAATAGAGATGAGAACAAGAGATTTCGAACAAACATAGTGTACATTATGGTCGCTCCGGGGCGAGAAAGCGCTTCTCTTGGCGGTTCTCTAGGAAGGTTGCAGACGGGGCACAAAAGGTCAAGTCGATGTGGATGGTACAGTAGCATCAAGTTGTCAACAGGTTGCAACAACTTGTGTACTGTAGCCGTACAGTGCTGTACAGTTTAGAGATGCATACTGTACCCTTGGGCACTGTCAGTGGTGCAAGGTGAGTGTTGACATCATCGGTGTTGTGCGGGAATAGGGAGTGTGTTGGGTTTGGCGTCAGTACGAAATGATTCAGCTACAGTACTCAACTGTAGAGTGCAATGCCTTGGGACTCTGTGGCAGCATTGTAGGAATTATGATGGGAAAGACGTAGGAAGCAAGTAGGAAGCAAAGTGCAATAAGAGCTCTAAAACACGAAAAACCGGTTAGGAACGTAGGAAGCGAGCTCTAACCCACGCGTTAGGGGGCGGTAACCCCGGGCCCAGCCTGACACTCTCGAAGCCGAGCATCCCCTCGGGGGATGTCCCTTCAATTGTGGGGATGGGATGGCACGAGCGCGGCCCCGATAGGGCCAGCGGGGCGGCTTGATGGGATTATTCCACTCAGACGGGGTAATGGAAAGCGTCACGTCGCACGGCACGCACATCCAATCGGCGCGTCGTGGCGCGACATTACACTGATCCGCATCGGGAATACGGCAGTCCCCCTTCTTGCGGCGCAAATATAAGCGCGCTGCCTCGGACGCGCCGCGTGCACTCCGCGCGCTCGCTCGTGTCTGTCTGCGCCATTCCCTTTTTACCCCTCCGTGGTCATCCATCACCGCCGGCGAGTGCTCGCGCCGTTGCCTCCGCGCTCTCCCTGCCCCCCATCGCTACCGCCGCACCCCCCTCCTTGCCCCGCCCCCCATGCCTCACGAGGTCGTGCCCCTCGTCGACTCGGCGAGCACTTCGCCGCGCTTCCGCGCCTCCGCCCCGCCGTCCAAGGGCCGCTTCACCTCGTCGGCCGCCCTCATCTGTGTCATTTTCGTCGCCGCAGTCCTCGTCGCCCACTACCTGCTCTGGTCCGCCTCCGTCCGTCCGGACCACCTGGAGGGCCCGGATGTACTCGCGCTGGCCAAGGAGGGAGGGGAGCCGCCCAAGGAGGGAGGGGAGCCGCCCAAGGAGGAAGGGGAGCCGCCCACCGCCCCGGTCGCAGTCCAGGGAGACGTTATCCCACCCGCCGTCGAGGAAGACCCTCATGACCCCCCAGATACTTCGGTAGCCGTCTTGCCTGCACCGGGCGATCGCCAATGTAAGGGCATCAAGTACGCCTTTGACAACGACGGCAAGCCGTGCATGGACCTCAAGACCCCGATGTACAAGCAGCTCATCTACGTCACGGACCGCCCAGACGTCCAGTACCTCTACTGCGGCATCCCGAAGAACGGCTGCACCTACCATCTAGCCATGCTCAACCGCATCTACGGCGCCAAAAACTACGAGTCCGCGGCCACCATCCACGACAAGGACCGTAAGAACATCTTCACGCTTTACGCGAGAGACTCAGAGACTATTGCTCGTATGTTGTCCAACGAGACCCTGCCAAAGTACATGGTCATTCGCAACCCGCTGAGACGGACTCTGTCGGCATACTTGGACAAGGTCGAGCCGTACCTTCCGGAATCTATCCGCACGTCCGCCACGTTCCATGACTGGATTTACGACCAGTTCCCGGTCGACTTGCCGGCAGATTATGACTGGCGGAGTACCAACCCTCATTGGAAGCCGGAGCGCGAGTTTTGCGGATACAAGATCCGAGATGTACAAAAGGTCTTCAAGGTCTTCCGCGTCGAAAACCCGGAAGATTACGTCGAGTACCTGTATACTATTATTCCAGAAAAGTATTTGAAGGATGGGTGGGGACGCAAGGAAAACATGAACTTTCGCGACCACGTGCTCGGCCCGCGGAAACGCACGGGCAACACAGACGAAAAGTTTGAGCGGTATTTTGATGACCTGGATGTGTTTGATCACATGGCGATGATCCTCAAGCAGGATATCGATGTGCTTGGGTATAGGGAGGAGGTGGACGAGATGCGGGCAAATTTGAAACGCAGGATGAAGGTGGCATGACGTAGAGGATTGTTGGTAGGGCCTGTCGAAGAAATGGGTGTGAAGGCTCAAGCAGAACACATTTGTACATAAGTATGGTTTTGGTGAGGAAATGGAAATCCTTGGCATGCGAGCCATAGGAGCCAGCTGTCAGTTTGGAAAAGCAAAGATTAATATGTTCACTCGTCCCTCCCCTTTTACTTTCACAGTGCGGAGTCGGCATCTGTCCTGTGAGAGGTATAAATTGCGGGCAAAACGCTGTCCTAGATATCGTAGGTGATCAGGGTCGCGAGCTAAGTTAGCAGTTTCTTCTGCCACATGCTCAAGCATGTGAGGATCAAAGAGAAGAAATTGAACAAAGTTGCGTTCAGGGGCAAAGGAGCGTTTAAGCCACAGTTTCGCGGAAACGCCTCTTTCCGTGGGCGTTTCCACGCGTAGAGTGTTCTCAGGGTCTCCTTTAGAGTAGGGAACTTGAGTCGCCCAAAATTGAGACCTGTAAGCTGTGTTATGGCCTGTAATCTGTGTCATGGCCGCAATTGTTGATTCCTTACACCGAGAAATGGAGCGGAGTGCGCTTTTGAGCACAGCAATTTTTACTGATGCTCTCCTGTATCAAGAAAACATAATTATCGAGGCAAATAATTTAAATTGTGGCCGCATGTTACAGCTTTAACAAGAAGACAAGAGGAAGACAAGAGACGAATAGGCACGCACGAAAGCGTGAAGCTTTTGCGTTTGCGTTCACTTGCGAACGAAGAGTCGACGGCAAGTCGCCACTCAATACTTTGACGGCACAAAGGTCCCGGAAGCGGATGCCGTCGCTCCGGGTAAGGACGGGCAACTTCAGCGATGGTATGGCGGGGGCAGCCAATCAGGTGGCCAATCAGGTGAGGTGAGCAACTATCTCTCAATTTCTGCAAAAAATCTGGGCCAACCGTTGCGAGATCAATCGTCCGCTAACGACGATTCCGTGGTCGCTATTGCCCGCACCGACCTCCGTCTTTCTGACACGCAACCCATCAAGCTGCCCATCAAGCTGCCCATCAAGCTGCCTCAACACATCATCCCCACGCTTTCCCCTCTCTCCTTCTGTACCGCTACAGTATCACGTTGCATTCCTGCCCTTAAAGAGTCGGCCCCTTCCACTTCCTCCTGCCCCTCGCTGTATCCCACCACCCCGCCCGCACCCGTCCCAACCACCAACCGTTGCCATCTCACTTGCCATCTCACCACCCACC